TATGTCACGAACACTAATAATCGCAGTATGTATAGCAGGTAAGTTGAGGACTATGTGGATATATCAATGTATCATATGTGGTCATGTGATGATTTATGTAATGGCATTCAGTTTCCATAATGTTTTATCTTTGATGACGCTAAAGTAATTATTTATCGCAAACTTTTACTTCTTATTTTGTTCATTCTCATAAGAACACAAGTAAGGGTTTTATCGAGGAAACTGCTGCTACAATGACATTTTATGCATATTATTGTACTGTTTTTCTCAAAAAATTACAATGAACAGAAATGACTAATACTAAAACGAATAATTGTAGGCGGGTTTTGACACAAAATATTTAACTGCCATGTGCGCTGAAATATGCGCACATGTAAAAAAACACTCGCGAGTGGCATTTTAAATCAGTATACAGTATATGTCATTGCATGAATGTAAAATGACAAACAGTAAATTTTGAGTCTGCATAATATATTATATTTACATTGGGTTATATTCAATTTTGGTGGGTAACAATTGGCATTAGAAACAAAACGTTGAGGTAATTATTTATTTATCGCAGGAGAAGGCAATAATTTGCACCATGGCGAAACGTTGATTGGAGACTAATAAAAAAAGTGAAAAGAGGACAATTTTGAATCGTCCGTAAAGGAATAATGTGTCGAAAAAATAATTTTTCTTCAGTTTTAATATTTTGCCATACAAAGGAGGCCGGAAGTGTTATCACGGCCACGTCCATATTGTAGGGTTGGCACACATGGAATTGTCGACTCATGCAATCGTTAAATGTTGTAGATAGTATAATACGTGTAATGATTTATTTAGTAACGCTGGGAGGTGGCTGCTGTCAAGAAGGCTGTCCAACCAATCTTGATGACACGTTCTACTTACAAACTTGGAGTATTGATGTATATACGAATTGTTCGAAGCAGCTAATAGATGAACTGAGACAGAACACCGACAATTGCAGGTAATGAATCTAATACTGATACCACAAATAATAGAAACAACAAACTATTAAAAATTATAAAACTATCAAGAGTTATTTTTTTTATTTAACCACGAACACACACACATTTGCTCACGGTGACATCATTTAGTTTATTCTTGTAATATGTTTTTTTTTTGCAGCGCAAAAGTACAAAATGTCGAAGTGTGCATGAACCAGATTCTACAGAACTGTACGACGGATATGGGAAATAACAATCAAATGAGACAGCATTTAGAGGCATCCGTTAATCCATATCTATTATCAGCCGTTGATCGGTACAATACAATATACTGTACGGAGGGCGGTGCGGACATTCCTAACATTATACCTATTATTGGAAACATTAAATGTGATTATGGGATCCAACAACCGAGCATGGCATGTGGCGACGATTTCATGGAAATGTTCAAGAATAATCCTTTAAATGAAACTTTGTGCAGGTAGGTATAAAACGCAAATCAAAACAAATACTGATAAACAAAACGTCGAATTCAGTCCACAAATTATCAAAATAGTAGTTCCTATTCCTAGTACCTGGCATACAGCGCTTCTATTCGATGCGGCAGTAACCACGTGACTTTCGAACTTCCGGGGTAGACACGTTTTATGTTCTACAGTACAAGACACACATAGTTCACGATATATTGCACAGAATGGCAAAAGATAACACAATGAGCCGTCAGTTTAGCCATCATAGAAGCAGAGTCATGTCTGCCAGTCAGTGTTTTTCACTAAATAAAATTATAAAAATGTTAAATTGATGTTAAATTTGTCATCTCTATTCCAACTTATGTTACTAGTATCTATCTTTACACGTCACCGGAGCAACAATAACTCGTCAAAATGTATGGAATTGTTTAACCAATATATTAAAGCGGGGGAGTCGTCACCTGCGTATGCGTCAGATGGCCATAGCGTGTCATTGTTTATAAACAAGCGTCTACCCATGAGCCTTTGCGTGTTTTGCGTGTGTTGTTATCATCGCTTGGGACTCAATTCCCGCGCGTGCGCAGGTGACGACCCTCCCGCTTTAAACAAACCATTAATGTTAGGAATACAATTCTTACTGCCATCATTCGACTGATATATTCCGCATATAAACATATTTTTCCAGGAAAAGTGTTTTTATTCATCATCCTGCTTTATAACGTGTCAAGTTGAGATATGGGACCAAGTTCAGATCATGCCCATTTATTTTTATCTTCATTTTCAATCTGTTAACTTAATACGCGCGCTTTTGTATTCGAGATACTTGGATCCCATCCAATCCAATCACGTAATAACTTACCCCTAAACTTTCGTTTCGTGTGGCTACTACTCTTACACTTACCCCGGATTATTTTATATTTTATTGCCCCCCGCAATTATATAGATTCATTTAATTTCCATGACCCTTGTATCGCGAATAGCAGCCAATCTCCAGCCAGCCAACGGGCATGCGTCTAACATACTGAATTAATTAGTTGACCATATTCATTTCAAGTTTAAGTTGCAGCTCATATGTTTGAGTGGGATATTCAGTCACGTATTTCCACTTTCATACAGTCGCCTTGGTTTGGGCACTAAAGTACTTTTCACGACGAGAATGTCGACCTTTATCGAGTAATTAATGAGACAACGTGATATAATGGGTAACTTTTGGGAAACGCATGTCGACGAGTTTTTCCCTTAGTGTAGTGGTTTTACCAGGAATGGCAACATTCCAAATTTATTTCTTGAATTATTGATTGAAATTATAGTAATACCTGTCTATAATACGATATATGTCTCAATCTAAATTGTTGAGTATTGATTGATATTTATGTATTGTATGTTGTCCAATAAAGGTAAATTAAAATCTTGTTTTTCTTGCCAGTGCTTATGAGGAAATGGTCATCTGTCAGACGGATTTGCTCGATCAATACTGCCCGGATATGTCAGAAGAAGAACGGTTTAACGACGATTCGTTGAGAAAGAGGAGGAATATCTTCTGTGCTGATGAAGATAGCGATGAATCCAAAAATGCGTATGTGTCTGATACAGCCGCACCGTTATTTAGGATATCTTTGTTCAAGGTTATTTGGTCATATTTTATGGCCATTTATTGCATTTTTTGAAATACTTGAATGTCTGTTTTGTGTAACAAGAATTATTTTAAAAAAACGTCCGTATCTTCATTTTTTGATAATTTTTTGCTGAGTCTCAGATGGAAAATTGATCATTTCAGGTCTGATCTTCGGATGAGACTTAGGAGTTATGTCTTAATTATTGAAATATGCGAGAGTTGAACTAGTTGGGGTTGGGCGACGCAGTTTTAGAGTTATGTTTGGAGTTTTTTTAAAGACATAGACACACTCATAGATCCGAGTGAATTGGTTTTAGGATAGTGTTATTTGTTTGATATTCATTCGATGTAATACGTAACATGTTACTGCGCATGTAGATATAATATCAAACAAATTGATTTAAGCTCAAAAATACTTGATTCCTGGAAGCGTTACTTCATGTTTTATCTGTAAATTCGCCATGTATATCACAATTTTAGATGTTTGATTTGGAATTATAAACCAATTTTACTACTATTGATATTACTTTATTTATCGTCCAGTATTCGAAAAACATAGAATATCACATATTGAGATGCAAATACTGCTCTAAGAATCCCCACACAAAGTAACTGACGTACGCTGCATCTTTGCAAGGTGATGATAGAATTATAATTCCTCTACTAGAGATGAAGCGCTTTTTGACGTACAATGTTACTGAAAGACAGCTTCACAGCCTCACAATTGTCATCGACAGATAATGTTTTAAGGGATATGCATTATGTTCTACGATGCACATCTACGCAGCCATTTGTAAGTGTGAACGAAGTTACTCTCACAATCTTCCCAGTTTGTACGTCACGAACTTCGTCACGCGGGGGCGCGATTTATTGTGCCGTTTTTCTCGGGTTAGAGTCTTGTCACTTATGTTTAAATTTTCAGATGACTGTTTTGTAAACGATGTTGCTCACGAACTATATCCATCTGTTTATTTAGGGTATATAATGTTGAGAAATCGCTGTAAGGATAAATGTCACCACGCACACATTACTTTTCTCATAGTGTGCTTGTGTTCCTTTGTTGGTCTTTATTCACATTACATGGTCGTGTGGTGGTGATAGGGCTCATAAATAAGGTTGTACGCGGTTCTTCGGGTGCTTTTCAGCAATTTTGTCTAATATACGCTGTAATTTGCGTACTTGGATGTGAAGTAATAACTTTAGCTGATTGTAACTAGTATATATCACCGCAGTAAACTTTACCCATGCACACACATACTTTTTGTTACGACTTGATGAGGGCGAGTACTAGCATTTTATTCCCTCTTTAAATTGTCTTTCGCCACATATTACAAAAAGTACTCTCCATAACATAAAATACAACAGACTCTTTAAGAATTCGAAAAGGTCTGAAATGGTAAGTCAGTGAAAAAGTTTTAGATAAATGTCCTATGGTACAAATCATAGAGAATTCTGGGTACTTTGTAGTGCTGTTTGATGAATTACAAATTGTAGCATGACATTGTTTGCGGTTGTCGTCAGATTTATTCCCAACAATTGAACATTCATTAACAAGATTATTTGTATAATTGCAATGTATATGTATTGTTACACAGTATCTGTATACAGTTTTAGTACATATCAGATATATAATCATATTCTGCTTATTATGCAAGAACATTATATGTATTTGTATTTGTAATAAAGATAATTTATTCAAACTTCCATTCCAAGTAGAAACACATTATTATGTATAAATTGTATGTGTAGTTACATTATAATTATAAGTGGTGTACATAACTAATAATTATTATCAAACACAATAAATATGACATAATATGTGAGAAACAAATTTAATGGATTATGATTGCACTGAACTGTGAACACACACCATATCTAACATTAATACGATAGTTGAGAATACAACACAAATATGGTCTTAAAGAAATTACATGGGACGGATTTAATAGCGGGTACCGGCCGGGGTTATGGCGACCGAACGACGTAGCTGAGGTTTGAATTTATTTCAGATTGTTGGACTCGGTTTAGAGCTGATTGCAAAGATTTGGGTCACAGCAAATGCAATATTTGGTTCTTGTAGCAAAAAGTTTGGGTAATGTTATCTGATATGCTGGTTTGACCGTATACCTGGGTATAAAGGCAGGGTTCGCGTTACAATATGTAATAATAAATGGTGTAATGATTGCTATGGGTTGGGTATTAAGCAGATTGTATTGAAAAATTGAACTTTGCTGGGACTTTTTAAAATAATAAGATTTCAACTGTTACGAATAGAGTGGAAAGATTCATAGCTACAAAATTCTTTACTTCATGAAATAAACATTGTGTCGAATGAGAGCACGAAGACCGTGAAATCGGTGTGAAGGTGATGTGATGCTTATTCCATAACCTATTAATTTAAATAATTTGATATTTAATATAACGGTTTAATCACCCTGCACACAAGAAATATATTACAGCTTGACACTTTCATCAATATTAAATCGTTGGAGTGTACTAAGCAATAATGATTCTGCCAAGATACAATTAATATCTTTGAAAACACAATGATTCGGGACAATGAAAAGACGTAAGTAGTCGAACATTCAGTGTTCCCTGGTGTCTGGCAAAATGACAAACAATTTCAGAGGCATATTTCATCAAAAATCATTATTGGACCTTTTACGCTCATTGCGATAATTGCCAAATGATTTCAATTCGTTTCATTCCAATATATATGGCATTGTGAGAATCTCATCAAATACACACTATGAGTTGCCGATCTGAATCTCATCAGTGTGACGTTTCATTCACAACTATTGTCTCCAAACATATTTGAAGTTTATCCGATCACGTTAATGAGATATGCTGCGTCAGTTTTATCAAAGATATTTGACTTGGTTTCACTCATTACGAAAATGACAAATATAATATTGGATATTGTTTTGAGTTTATCAATCTCGACCCTAATTCATACCACGTATGACAATTCCAATGAATAAACGTAATAAAATAGTGCTCTGCCCATTACACGCAAGTTAATTTCCCCCTAAAATATTAATTACCGACTTTATTACGATGATACCACGTATAGCTTTGTGTACATCATTCACATATATAGCAGTGATTAAATAGTGTTCCGCTAATTACATGGCATCCGATATTAATTTCCCCAAAAATAATAATTCCCTATGCTATGTGTACACGTATAGAGTGGTATTTAGTACTCTATGAATGATAACAATTATGTCTGATGTTTGGGATCGAATTACTCAAATTGTAAATTAATTTGACAATGTCTAGGATTTATATTCGAAATTATATTCATATATCCGTCAGCGACTACATTGTCGATATTGTTTATCTTTATAAAGCGTAAAACCGCAGCGATAAGACAGCTTGGGGAATAGTTCTACCTTCGCATCTTATCGTAGTTACAATGTTGAGTGTTCAAACATTTATGGGTGTTCTGAGAGATACTTATCTAACGGGAAATCCGCTATTCTTAATACGTATACCGGGTGTTTTTGTATATCGTATGGCATGTGGTGTATCAGATCACTCTATTAGTATACGATGAAACGATTACATTTCTATAAAATACAACGTTCATGATATGCAGTTTGATTTCTTTTTCCCCAAATAAATGTAAAACTGTCCAAATTCAAAAATGTGGTAACGTACCCGAAGAGATGGTAATAGTAAAACACTCACCGATGAAATGTCTCAACAAGTCCGCGAAAAAAATCAATTCGACGAACACCCTTGATTTGACAAAATGCCGTCGCTTATAATGTTGTGCGATCGCTAAAACATTGTATGATAACATTATTTGAGCTAATGACAAATAAATATCTCAAATTCGTCTTGTATTGCTCTCAATAATATTGCATCTATTACTCAACTTAAAATATTAACAGGTCTACTTTATATACAACCAAAATATTGATTATTTACGGGGTGGCCATCTCGTTATTGTAGTCAATGGCCTTCGATGATTGCGTGTTCATTCTTTGATTCTTTACATGATCCCACCACGTACACACGGAGATAACCGCCGACCCCAATATGACTAGAACAGTTCCAGCTATATCCAGCTTTCCTGGTTGTATATTAGTTATACACACCTGTAAAATAAATGCCACGACAACTTGAACATTTGTTAACAAGTTGACGGTCACCGCCCCTTCCATTTGCAGGCTACTGTGAAACGCACAAACAAAGCTAGCAGAGCATAATGCCAAGGCAGATACATAAGATATTTCCTTCAAACTCCAAGTCCATAGTTGCGTTTCCATAACCAGTGATAGAGTCAAGCAGATAAGACCTGATATACAGTTCATATAAAATATCTTAACAAAAGTCGTGACATCGTCTGAAATTGCATCCCACATAATGCAAGAGAGTGAGTGGAAGAAAGACGAGCAGATAGTCATGGTGTAAGCAAATCCAGTGGTATCAATGCGGCTGTCCATGACAATGGTTTCGTTCATTGGTGTATCTATATCACCGAATATAAAAGTTGGCCGCATTATTAAAACGGTTCCAGCTGTAATGATAAGGAAACCTAGTACGTGTGAAATTTTTAGACGTTCTCCGTTAAATATAATAGATCCCACGGCACAAAATATGGGTGTAATTCCTGCGTACACGGCGTACTCGTTCCCAAGGGGTAAATGGTATACAGCGTAAACTTCCGTAGAACTACCGACGGCAGTGGCGGCTCCGATCCCGACAAGGAGTGTATTGATCTTGACAGACTTGAAAAGAACTGTATCTTGAAGGTAAAGAAGTGCCGGTATTGTGGATAAGACAAGCACTGAAATACTGTAGAGAAAGGCCACTTGTATGGGAGGAATACCTCCCGATGCAATCAAAGTATAAAATATTCCGTTGAACGCATCTAGGACACCGGACAGCAGAGCTAGGAAAACCCCTGTAGCTGACTTCAATACAGTAGCGAGACCGGGTCGCAGTTGTTGGGACACTTCATCAGACAGTAATCTTGTCTTTTCTTGGTATTTTCCCATCTTATTTTCTGTATATTCTTAGGTGCTTTAACGAAATTGTGGAATTGACACAACTGGATGTATGTGTAATACAGTAGACGGTGATTTGTACAATCAGGTTATATATGAAATTATCTTTAATATATACGTAGATCATTAGTTCCTGTCATTTGCGTGGGTAGATCAACTGTCAACTTTAACAATATCAACACATTGTTTCAATTATATCAATTCACGAGCAGCACAATGAGAACAATCTTAAGATCTGAACTGAGAACGAAGCCCCCGTGAATGTAATTGGCAGCGAAGCAGAAGTGCCTTCGATTATCACAAACAAACCGCGATAAGCGTGATACTACATTCATTACTTCTCCAATTCAGCTCACAATCACGTATCCCGGCGTTGTTGTAGTACATACGTTAGATGGTCCCCAAAGCGGGAAGTGTTATAGGTATATCATGGTTCATACATTTTTGAATACGCATCATTGTAACAAGACGATAAGACGCCCAATGTAGGAATTTTCTCTTATCGCTTAGTTCCTATGCATTACAATATAAACAGTACTGATAATATAAACGCCGACGTTCATTTTATTTACAAATCATTTTATTTATAAACTAAATATTACGTAATTGTTTTTAAACGTAACTTTTGTTTTTAGGAAATAATCCAATCTCGTGTGTCAAAACTCAATACTCAGGGTAAACTTTAACCTGATAAAACTATGGTGAAACATATGCTTGATCACATTCCGTCAACACCCTGGGTCTGTGACCAGGACGGCCAATAACTGAAATACTCTAGTTAAACGTGTACAACTTTGTTACGTACAAATTATCTACTGGGACCATGCATATGAAATGACCAGTGTTTTTGGGAATTACTTTGTGAACATATTACTTGTTGCTATGACAGGTCATATTTGAACAAATACATGATATTATTATACATCTGTCACCGTAACGCCATAAGTTACAGCGTGCCGTAATTTTGCGGTATTTTACGGGGTATTTTCATCTTACCATATTAAGAATGCGAATTCCAAATATGGAATGATTACGATCGCAAGCGTCCTCTAATAATAAAAACAAACGCGGCTGCCACCAGGGTTTTACCGGAATCCACACAAAGAAGTTCGCTGATTATGTTCTACACTTTTTGGATTTCGGCATTCCCACGATGTATCATTGGAAAGAAAAGATGTATATTAATAAGGTTATTACGAGGATACCTCAAAGCATGCACTCAGACAGTACGCGGTCGCATCGACTTCAGCTGCGCGTCGGTAGATACTAGGTGCATACCTTGAGGTATCCTCGTAATAACCTCATATTACTGTATACTGTATACAATAATCAATGTTTTGGTTATAGAGACTTCCGTTGAGAAAAGTTACACATGACTCGTTCTATATTTCATTTTAGAAATTTTACGTAATAAAACGCCGTTTTAACGTTGGGAACTACATTTTCAAGAACTAAAAAACATACTTTGACGATAGTTTTTCGCGTTTGTTTCGAATTCGAACCAACCAATACAGTTACCATAAAATGGTTATTTATCTATCTCCCTTGCCACTAATATTTTTATTTTCAGTATCAATGTGAAATTTGCATGCAATCAACACAACTTCTTTCGTACAAAACGACGAAATCGACGACCTTCGCATTCCAGTCTTTATTTTGGCGATCTGATTAGTGGAAATGGTAGTTGAAACGTGATCACAAGTTTGGCATTGCTTTTAGTGTATTTTTATTTAGCTAATCATATCAGATGTAATTGATACTACAATATCCGAGCATTGTTAACCAAATTGCTTATATATTTAAAATCACACACTCCCTCTCGCAGTCATAAACTACCGAGGTTATTCCAGTGAATCATGAATTACAAATATCGACAGAACAAAAACCTAAATGACGTCAATATAGCATTCCTTTGTGCAGAAATCTTATATGATATTTGAATATCAATATAAAGCAATAATTCGAGTGGTTGTACACAATTTCATTTCCATTGTTCGAGTGTTTCAGTGGCTACAAATTAATTAATGTGTGTGCAACTGTAAACCTGAAAAATTACTTGTTTTTATATTTAGAACTTAACGTCTACGTCACGTGCGTACCTTCCCCATTGACAGCAATATGATTGTCTTTCCCCATTGCTTATTGAATTCTGCTACCTTATAAGTAGGGACCATTGTTGTGACTGTTCAATCGAAATAGCTACTGAGCTAACAATGAGTTTGAACGAAAAAAAACCTTATGTTTACGAGGGATGAGACTTCAGAACAAAACTTGTATACTGAGTGGAGAGATCCACAACTCGGATATAGTGATACGGACGAAGAGTTCGGACAATTCTCATTCACCACTGGTTCCAGCCGCGGCGGCACCGTGGGGGCATTGGGGGCGGCCGCCCCCACGATAAAATGAAACTCTGTCTCTATCTCATCTATATATACACCCATCTCCAGAAAACGTAAGAGAAATATACCTGAGTGTACCATCAAAATTTGCTCCCCAAAATGCAGGAAACAGCGTTTCAGAGGGTTTAGATTTCAACATTCAGTTTTTCATGGGGGACCATACCCTCGGACCCCCCGAGAAAGGTCGCGCCTCCGACGCTCGATTAGTTGACATTCACATATAAAATCTTCGCTCCGACAGTCAAAAAAAAGCTGCCGCCGCCCCTGGATTCACACTATTACTTGCACTCTCATCACCGTGTGAACTAACAAACAGTATTATGTCGTGGATCGGACCTACTGCACATTAAGAATAAATCTACTAAGCCCTGCATACTGAAGTATTCGTATCTCTTCAATGTATATGCTTTAACCGCCTGGCAATGATCCCCGTATGTACCCAAACTTGGTAAAAACCTCGACCACACTACTGAATTCCCGGACCAATACAATCTGTATCATATCGGAAATTACTATCACAATTAGTTACACTATACTTTTCGAGAGACCAGGATAGGATAAAGTGGGTATGGCGAAATATGTAAATACAGTTGACTGTGACACATAGTTAAAGTGCCTGTGCAGTGCCCACCCTCACGTTTCCCATTTTAGATCTGTATCCCACTGAAATGGGCAGTTATTGATTTTTTTGCTGAAAATGATTACTCGTATCCAAGTAAATTTGGGATATTTCTCGTGTTGTAGCCACGCCCACCTATTCTGAAACGGTCGACTGTTTCCGGATTTCCGACTCTCGCCGAAAGTGCGCCACAAAATGCCAAAATGTGAGAGGAAGTCATACCCCTGAGCCGTAATAACACTGGTCATTCAGTATACTTGTAAACGATATACATTTTTCAGTCGGCGTTTTTTTTTTTTTTTCGTTTTTTTTTTGTCTATTTTTTTTTTGAGAGAGAGAGTTTTTAGATGTTGTGTTGTGGGCAGTTGCAGTGAAACGTATAGTTATAGTGTAAGTATTCACACGTTTCTAATCGATCCGAAGGTGCGACATCAGTGGACGAAAGCCACTTAGCCTCAAATTCTTTTTTACCTCCATGCTTGCAGCTTGATCTGCGTAATAATTTCTGAAATAAGAATCCGGCTTTGGTCAATGTGTTTCCACCAAATAAAGTTTTAATATGATGTTATAATTATGACAATCACGCCATGAAATACGCTTACTCGAATCCACTCTGAATTTATCTGTATGTGTGTCGATCTCGGTTATTTTTGTTATCCAATTAAACGCCGCTTTTAACGCACTTACCCTCGTCGTGACCCGACGCGTTCACCTATTTCAACAAAATTTCAATTTACTTCCACGCGGCTGTCATTTATTTAGTAACTGTGATTTGTCGTTTTTTTAAATTATTTTATAGTGATCACTATAGTCTAATGTTTAGAATGTCAAAATATGTTCTCTTTTATTTTAATTTTGAAAGTTTTACTCAGACGATCGATGAAATAAAACAGTGTAGTGACGTGCCTAGTAACCTGCTAAATAACGAGATAATTCCGACGTCAAATTCTATTTGTCCAG